GCAAAGTGGTGGTTTTTAAAAGCATTCAGGTGATTTTCATATGCAACCTGTATCTGATGTAAGGGCTCCAAAACTACTTAGAAAAACATTGTCTTAATTTGGAATTTTTTAGAATTTTGACAATTTCAAAATGTGCACATTGTAGTATCTATGTGTTTTCCCAGATAAACAGTTTCACTCCAGAAAAGCAGGGCCTGGGTCATATTTGACTTTGTGTCATCAGTAGCTCATATTAACCTCACACATTAAAAAGCCCTCAGATGAAGGTGCTGTGGAAGATGGAGAAGAGCTTCGTGCCTTCTCCCACTGCAATCAAGGAATAAAACCTTACATAACCTGATAAGAATGCAGTGTAAATTCAGCTCTTAGTGTGCGCTGAGTTGTGGAAGGTCAGGAAGGTAGACTTAAGACTCTGTAACCTGGTAGGCATTTCAGGGAGCTTATCATTAAAGTAAAAGACAGCTCCTGTCCACGAAAAGGCAAGCATTAGCCTAGCAAACCTGTGAGTGCCAAGCTTGGCCAGCACCGAAGGTCTGAAGATTGCATTCCTATCAAAAATTGCCATGCTCAGCATTGGACATAAAACTGAACCAGACACACACTGTCTCAAACACCCGAGGTTGCTCACAAAAAATTCAGTAAACAGTTACAGAAGTGAGAGGTGATGAGAGGAACTAAATAAGGTTGATAAGATGGGAGGCACCTAGTTGTTGGCGTGTTTGAAAGTTCCAACTGAAGTATTTCAGTCTAGTCCAATAGTGATTCATTCATGAATAGAGACATGCTACAGAAGAAATGTATAAGAAAGACTGTTAGAACCTAGAAAGATTTGAGGAAGGAGAATAGTTAAATAACCAAAATGATAAAATAGAATAACTAAAACACAGCAATCTAAAATAAAGATCATAAATGTTTCTTGAGTAGGGCATGGTGGCACACCCCTATAGTTCCAGCACTCAGGAGAGTAAGGCTGGAGCATGGTGAGTTCCAAGCCAGCCTGGGTGACATATCAAAACCATCCCAGAAAGCCAAATAAATAGTAAATGTTTATTTCAAGGAGGAAAATGTTCCTAAATTAGGGTGACTTTGGAAATGGGAAGGAACAGTTTACAGAATCTTCTGTTAACAAGAGGACCATTCACATTCTGTCAGAATAAATAATTTAAATGCATTTCAATCAGTTGCTAATATTGGAATTCTAGATTGGGCTAAGAATCGGGTCCTCTCTCATTCCCACAGATGTAATTCCATACCTTAATTTATTTTCACAGTTATGTGAAAACTTTAGAAACTGAATGTCAGGTTAGTAAAGAACATCTTGTTTACTTTGTTTCTATTTTTGCGCAGTCCCATGACTAGGAAGCTCCCATTTCTGTAACACACGACCATCGGTGCTCTTGTTGGGAGTCTCAGCCTATGCAAAATTTTCTAGTCATCAAAACTAAATTTTTGTCTTTGTCTTTAGGTAAACAAGTTCTGAAATTCTCACATGTCAATGTTTAGTGTGTAATTAATTCCGGAAGAATTCATTGCTTTGATTCCAGTTTTATGACAGTCTACTTTGTGGCTAGTACAGGTATTGGGTTATACATACAAGACTAAACTGCCAGTTCCTCCCAGATGGGGTGAGTTCCCAATCTGCATGTGTATCCTTGCAGGGCATGTGGGCATGCTTTCAACTCATGCAGTCTGATTTATGGAGGCACGGAGGTCAGGAGTTTATTATGTCAAAAATTATAATAACTTTTGTTTTCCTTTTTAAAATGAAGGGGACAAAGCATGTTGAAAAGTAAATGGGTGAACCATTTTGATTATGCTTTTATTGCTATTAAAGATTCAATATAATTATGGAGTAAGCAGCTATCCTAAGTATTACGGCATTGAATCTGAAGTGGTCTGTAAGCTGATAGCTCCTTCTTTCCTCTGGGTTTAGGTTTGTTATTAATCAAATATTGGACCTATTTAGTGCAGTGGTATATGAAACACATAGTTGAAACAGACAGTTCCTTTAATTTACAGCTTTCTGTTTTGGGGTTTTTTTTTTTCAGATTTGTAGGAAAATCTGTTTCTTCTTGTAGACTTGGTTCTTGTAGACTGTTGTTCACATGTGTAGATTCTATTTTCTTATACCAGAGCCAGCTAAAAAATTCAATAGTTGGAAGATTATCTTGTGGCATCGAAAGGAGGAAGTGCTTTTTTATTATTTTAATTGACAAAGGGTAAAATCATTTTGAAATATGGATAATTTCTACTGGGAATAGATACTATTTTTAAAAATCTGTATTAGGGGCAGAAAAATGGGATCATTTTAAAAATAGAACAATGTACTTGTAGAAAGGTATTGATAACCTAACTAGGATAGTGGGGAAAATTAAACATCAACCTAGAAGTGTTAAATAAAACTGTCTTAACAGGCATGGGATTCCAGCTATTTCCTGGTGTTGGCTTAGGGACCACCACAACCTGGGTAAGCACTTTGGAAGCTGCTAAGAGCTTGCAGGAATGCAGTGGGGCCTGATGTGTGTAAAGGACTTTCAACAGAACAGTCTTGCCACTCTTCTAAACGCATTTCCCTTCAGTGGCAGTACACTTAAAATTCCTAGAATGCACTTCATGAGGAACACAGTGGAGATCTGAGGAGGTGTGGAGGAAGAGGCCTGCTCTTCACCCTGATGTATTGCATAAGTGATAAAGAGCTGTACAGGCTCTCCAAGCAAAGCAAGTTGCGATCTTGCATAGAGTTTGGGGGGCCAGGAATTGTTCGGAGATTAACATCAGCCTCAGAAGAAGAGGTGTTTGCTGTTTCTTAGCTTTCAGAAGCACTTCACTGGGCTGAGTGCCACAGTTGGCCAACTTTCAGAAGCATGAGGCTGTCACTGTAGTTGACTTTTGGAGGTGTGTTTACTGACATGAGCTGTCACTGATCATTTAGACCTAGGTGAATCATCATTAATTGATTGTCTAGTTTAAGTGTGCTTCCAGCCGGCTTCAGTAGTTACTTGTTTCCATGGCCATAGAAAATCAGCCCTTTTCAGTCTCAGAAGCTAACACTTAGATAAACACCATAAGAAATTAAAACAAGAAAATCAGACTCTGAGGAGTCTATGTGTGCAGTGGTTATATTATACATTTTCTAAATGGCAGTGTCTACTAAAGCAGTAGAAAGAAATGTTCAAAGTCAGCAGTCCCCATGTGTGGCATGGCATGTTCTTGTGTTGAGATCAGTTATTTAAGTCAATGACAATAAAGCATTATTAATAATAAAATAGAGTAATGTGAATGTGGTTTACCTCATGTAAATGAAAGTAGATTGTAGGTCATCCATGTAGCTCTGGTACTATGTAGATTGTAGGTCATCCATATAGCTCTGGTACTATGGCATTCCCATGAGCTTTCTCAAGTGGAATAGAAGGAAGTGGTAAGGGTCCACATGCTTCGACTTGTCAGCTTTGGTGATGGTAGCTACTGAACCCCCAGTATCTATAATATTTTATTTTCCTCCCTCTTTAGGAGACTTCGAAATCTGCATATATTCGTTTTCCATACACATAAATGACACTCATCATGTATGCTGCTGCTGGCAAAACAGAGTGGGGGTCTCTGCTAGTTCAACTGCCCAAATCTCTCCTTACCCAGATCAAAAGAAGTCAGTGTCATGGCTCATCTGAAAGTTGCAGTGTGTACACGTGGAGTTTTAGTCTTGTGGGTAGTTTAGTCCTGTCTGCTATGGTGAAGAAAGGAATGCTGGCATGAGACACTGCTTGGAACTCTTTAAATAACTAGTAGAAAATCCTTATTGCTTTTGTTTAGTCATATAAAAACTGAACTTCTCTTTTTCATAACTCATCAATTGTCCTGAAACCTGGTCTCTTGACTACCCTGTTTATTCCTGACAGCTCCTAATGGGGGCACAGCTAATCACTGACATATTTCTCTGCTGCTAAGCATAGCCAGCTTATGACCACTTAGGAGTCAAGCACATGTTGATACCTTAAGACCAGTAAGCATTTGCTGAAGAGGAAAGCAGGATGGTGAGATTTGCTGTAATCAACAATAAGAGGAGAAAATTAGTTCATGGAGTAATGCCAAAAGTGTAATTTCCTTTTATATAGGGAAAAAAAGATACAATTTAACTCAGCACCGCCCCCAAAAAGGGCAACTGTAATGCCGTTTGAGCACCACTTTTATTTACTTTTTAAACTTTTATTTCATCTATATTATAGTTTTTGTTTTATTTGTTTGGTTTGGGGTATTTGGGTGGTGATGTTGGGGACTGAACTCAGGACTTTGCTCAGGACTTTGCGTATGCAAGGTAAATGCTCTACCACTCCACTGAGCGATACCTCAGCCCTAAACATCATTTTCTGGGTTTGCTTTTTTGGTTTTGGTTTTGGTTTTTGGTTTTTGGTTTGTTTGTTTGTGTTTTTTGTTTTGTTTTAGTTTTAGTTTTTTTAATGTAGTCCTTGCTTTTAACCCTTTGAACTATTGAACCACAAACATCAAACAGGCCTGGTTCATTGTGTGGCATCTTGCTCTGCAGCCTGGCTCACTGTGGTTAAGTGAATGTGCTCTTTGGAGAAAAAGGACAGAGTGTTCTGAATATAGTTTAAGGAAACTCTTGGGTGGAAATCATAGCCTCATATCAGGGGAGGCGCCTGCAGTGGGGATGGAAACTGAGGGACTTGGTACTGGAAATAAAAAGTAGCAGAACAAACTTCAGGCATATTTTTCAAAGTTGTGTTTTGGGTTTTTTGCTATTCTGGGGACTTGAACCCAAGGCCTTGTGTATTCTAGGCTGGCACTCTACCCCAGGGCTAAATTCCTAGCCCCCAGGTCTATTTTTTAAGGAGCTGCTTTCCATATGGGATAAGCACCTGTAAACCCCATCCCAGCACTCTGAACCTGTCTGGCTCCTTATGCCAGGGAGAGTGGAGCCTAGAGTTTCCATTCTGGGGTCTCAGGCTGCGCTCACTAAACCATCCATCTCTCCTCCTCTTTAGGATGACACATGTGCTCCAGTTCGAAGATAAAACCAGAAAAGTGAAAGATGCAAGCATGCAAGACTCAGACACGTTTGAGATCTATGATCCTCGGAATCCAGTGAATAAAAGGAGAAGGGAGGAGAGCAAAAAGCTGATGAGAGAGAGAAAAGAACGAAGATAAGGGAACAGTACTGAGAACGAGAGCATGCTGGAAGTGTGCCTCCCACCAGTGGCCACTGTCCTCTACAGCGTCCTGCAGGGGGGCTGTGAAAGGTATTTTTGAACCTGTTATCTGGTTTTTGGAAAACAGTGATTTTTGTTTCACAAGTTGTGGAATGATATAAACAAATGCTTTTGGTTACTGATAAGAGTTCCCTAATTTACCTTTTATATTGCTAAATCTGAAATAAAATAAGTTTCCAGTTTAGATGTTAACATTTATAGATTGTATAAATTCTTGTTTCTGCTTTTCCTTTGAAATTTGTGAAAACTTAACCTTTTTTTTTCTTTTTTTAATTTAAAAATATTTTATTAGTATTGGTTTCTTTAAGAAGTAACATGATAGCCGGGCGTGGTGGCACACACCTTTAGTCCCAGCACTCGGGAGGCAGAGGCAGGCCGATCTCTGTGAGTTCAAGGCCAGCCTGGTCTCCATAGTGAGTTTCAGGCCAGCTGGGGCTGCAGACAGACCCTGTCTCAAAAAGACCAAAAAAAAAAAAAAAGAAGTAACATGATAAAGGGGTTGGAGAAATGACTCAGCAGTTAAGAGCGCTGGCTGCTCTTGCAGAAGACCTGGGTTCAGTTCCTAGCACCCACATGGCAGCTAACAACATCCATAAACCCCATTTCCAGGGGATCTGACACCTTCTTCTGACCTCCACAGGCATTGCAGAACATGGGTCACCTACCTACATGTAGGAAATACACTCATACACATAAAAAAATATTAATAATTTTTAAAAAGAAGTAGCATGATTACATTGAAAGGCTTTGTATAGGTGGAGAACTTGGAAAAGGAGTGAGAGGGAAACTCACATTAGAGGAACAATGACAAATCTCACATTATTTTTGAAGCTTGGTAGTACACTTTGGTCAGTAAACAATCTTAAAAAATTATAGTAGGCATAGAATTTCAAATTTATATTCTAAAATATAATTACATATTTTTAGTTTGAGAATTATATCAGTTTAGTATATTACAGTACTTTCTTTTTTTAACTTCTCTGTGATTTTTATCTCTAGAAGTTCAGTTAGGAGAAGGCACACTGGGGCTATAAAAGAGTAATAGAAAAATAATGGAAAATCTCTTGGTGCCTGGTAATGGGAGAGGTCCAACATCAAGACCCGGATGCCCAGGACCACATGTAGAGTGAAGAGCACAGCTGGGCCTCAGGGGAAATGGGAGGTTCATTCCAAAGAATCATTCCTCCCAAGACCAGAATCTGTAAATAACAGAGGCCTCCCCTGTCCCCAGCATAAGAGACAGAGCCTCTGCCATGCACAACCTGGGACCTCAGGAATGGGGCTGTGGGGAATGCAGTCAGAGAAGACTGAAACAGCTGCCCATCAAGAAGTCTCCATGCTCTGCTCTGCTCCACCACCAGCCTACCACCAGGGGGATATGGTGCCGTGGCTTAAGGCAGGAATCCAAAGCTTCAGGCTTGTGAGGGGACCAGAGCTCCAGCTCACAGGAAGGGACCACAACTCTAGCTCACAGAAGGGACCACCAACTCTGGCTCATTTTGGGGGGGGGGGGCACAGGACAGGACACTCCATCTCCCAGGACAATACTATAGCTCCAGGTTCACAGGAGGGAGTCACAGCCCCAGCTCACAGGAAAGGACTACTGCTTCAAGTTTGCAGGAGGGCCATAACACTGACTTATGAGAGGGAACTACAGCTCCAGCTTACAGTAGGCGACCACAGCTCAAGGTTCACTGGAGGAGACCACAACTCCAGCTCACAGGAGGGGACCTCAGATCCAGGTTCACAGGAAGGGGCCACAGCTCCAGGTTACAGGAGGGGGGACCACAACACTAGCTCATAGGAGGGGAATAAAAACTTTCTTTTCAAGATTTTTTTTATAGGAAGTATTTTTTTCCAGTTATTTATTTAATAACCACATACTTAGAAGAAGCATTTCATTACAACAGCATTGACATATTCAATAACAATTTTCTGAGCTAAGATGCATCTTTTTCAAAATTGGCTGTTTTTACAGAAAGAATATTTAAGACAAAGCTCTTTGGTGCTAACTTTGTAATAAAATCAAAATTACAAAATAACAACAATAGTGATGATTTTGTTTTGCACATAAATATATAACACTTGCCACACCAGTAAAAGATTCAATGGCATCTTGCTTTAATTCATAACGTGCCCTCAAAGAAATAAATAGTCACTCCTCCATCCGAGATCCCACCAGGTATTGTGACATTCAGGACAGTAGCACTCTACTGCTGTGCTCACCATACACGGCCACTCTGCCCTGCTCATTACAGCAACATCAGGAGCAAGTAGGTGGCAAGACCCATACCACCTGAAGAGCTCATCAGAGGTCATCAAGAATTCAGCCTTTGGTGTATTCATTCATATTGGGTACTTATATTATCATATTTGGGTACTGGGTATTATTATATTGGGTATTTAGTCAGTTCTAAAATCTGAATGATAAAATTATACAACAGACTTTTAGTCACCTAATAAAACCTCACCTGCCACATCCTTTGGATGGTGTCTCATTAGATCTGTCTTTCCCCTATCTTTTTGTCTTTTAAGATAATAGGATAGGCATTCTCTTTGTAAAGCACTGGTTCTTGAAATGTAATCACGGGTACAACAGCATAGCAGCAGCACTTGAGGACTGAGATGTGCTTATTCCTGCCTTACTACCATCACCACCACACCTCCCCCAGACTACTAAGTCTGAAACTTTGAACCATCAGAACTTGTTAAACAGATTGATGTGTCTTACTCCTGGAGTTCAACTGCTTTCAAGATTACCATTGTCTAAAGAAGTTAAAAATACACATATCACATGATCTAAAATTATAATCCTAGACTTGTATCCTAAAGAAATGTTTGCACCTTGTT